TCTGCTGACCAGCAGTGTGCCCCGGGGTGGGTCACTTGCCTGTCTGGGGGAAATTGCCTGATCTCCGGTACCATGGTAATTAGCGTCCCCTCTCACGATTGTTTCTCCAGCCACGCAGCCTGCAGTACCTCATGTTCACTGCAGGCTCTGCGATTGCTCCACCTGCTGCTGCAGCCTGGGGTGGCAGAAGAGCAGGTGGGGCCTCACGAAGGGTCAGGGAGCCTTGCAGGCTAATCAGCCTCCAGCAATTGCTCTTGAACTTCCACCTCTCCTGCATGGCTTTCCAAGCCACTTACGGTCTCATTTTTCAAAGTGTGGCCTGCTGACTGCCTGCTTCAGAGGCGGCGGCGGCGGCGCTGGTTTGGATGTAGATGGCCGGGCGCGTTGCAGCTCAGAGGTCAAGCCTTGTGTGGGGGGGGGGGAGGGGGAGAGAGAAACAGCGATGTCAATGCTCCTGGGAGGGTCTGGATGTGGGCCAGGCTTGGGCCACCTCTCCTCACCCCTCCTCAGGGACTCCTGCTCCCTGGGCATGCCTGGACAGCTCTCCCTCTTCAGCCCTTCACCCTGGCCTCAGGTGCAGTCCCCACCCCGGGCCTGGATCCTCTGGGGCAGCCGCAGCCACCTTCTGGGCCTAATGGTGCCATTTCATGCTTCCCTGCTCGGGTGATTCTGATCAGACAGAGGCTTGCTCCATCCTGGGAGTCCCGGGAGCCTGGTCTATTTATCATCCTCAACTTCTCCAAATGGCTGCCACCTCAGGATTGAGCTGTGGGGCCCAGGGAGGCTTAAGAAGCTCTACACCCCAGGGATTTGCTCTTCCTCCCTGCAATCAGGGCCATGGGGTCCCTGCATCTGGGCTGGGGCCGAGGTCCTGGGCTTGGAGGAGGGACGTGGGCCTAGAGGTGCAGACACAGATCCTGCCTCCATGCTGCGGGTTCGGGAGTGCCGGGGTCACCTGGGGCCCCAGCCGCTGCCCCTCTCTGAGCCTCCTTTTCTCACAGAAGCGTTGAGAACATAAGCCAAGTCTTCAGCGTCTTTTTCCCCTGGGCGTCCATGTGGGTGAGCGCCCCCTCCCCTGCTGAGTTCTCTGCAGGGTCGCAGCTGTAGAAATGGCCGAGGATAACATAAGTGCTCTTGGGGGTGAGGTCTGAGCAGCGCACACGGGCGTGGACATCACCCGTGCCTCATCCTAATGTGCTGAGCACCTACTATGCACTCGTCACTTCTGAGCTTAGATTGTGGTGAAGCTGAGTGCCGGTGGCGCACTCCTGTTATCCTGGCTACTCAGCAAGTTGAGATCTGAGGATGGTGGTTCGAAGCTAGCCTGGGCAGGAAAGTCTGTGAGACTCCTTTTCGATGGACTTTCTCCATGCTGTGATTGAACTCAGGGTCTCTTTATTAAGGAGCTATCACCTTAACCCAGCAATCTTAACAAAAGAATAAAGTTGCAAGATTCATTCTACCTTAGCTCAGAACTTGCTATGTGGTAAATTGAAATGAAGGGATGGTATTGGCATAAGAATATGCAGGTAGAGCCGGGCTCTGGTGGCTCACACCTGTAATCCTAGCTACTCCGGCAGCTAAGATCTGAAAATTGGAGTTCAAAGCTATCCTGGGCAGGAAAGCTCATGAGAGTCTTAACTGCAACTAACTAGCAAAAAGCGGGAAGTGGAGGTATGGCTCAAGTGGTAGAACCCTCACCTTGAGCAAAAAAGCCAAGTGAGAGCCAGCTTCAGTACTAGTATGTGTGCACATGCACACGCGCGTACACACACAGATAAACACATCAATCCGTGCACTGGAGTTGTGAGTCCCCTGGTGAACCTTGTATTTCAATAGGAAGAAAATGATCTGCGTAAATGGTGCTATGCTAGATAGAAATCCACACAGTGTACTTGAACCTCTTCCTTATACCACACAGATAAAACCACTTCTAGTGGACTGGACTATAGACATTCCCTCAAGGGCTAAGAGTATAAACCTCACAACTGACAACATTGGAGCAAATCTTGATGACCTTGGGTGCTGTAATGGTTTCCTCCATACTGCACCAAAAGCATCAACAAAAACCAAAGCGATAGGCCAAGTGGATGCCATTAAATGAAAAACCTTGGTGTTTCAAAGGACATCATCAAACAATATTGGAAAGATAAGCCTGGAATTAAAGCATGTTCTTGCAAATCATGTGTCTGACACCTTCTGTGTCCCTGTGGGGTTGGTGTGTGGCCGTCCCTGGGCTGGTGTGTCCAGGGGATGGGAGTCTGTCCAGCTGTCACTCTGCCCCAGGTCTAACAAGGAACTGGTGTCTAGAATAGATAAAGAACTCTTACAACTCAATAATTTAAAAATTGATTAAAAACGTGTGGCAGAGGAATTGAATTGGTATGTCTTAAGTGGCTAAGAAGCACATAAAAGGGTGCTTGTCTTATTAGTCAGCAGGGAAATGCAGATCAGAAGCAGCAAGAGATGCGGCTGGACAGCTTTCCGGGGCCGAGACATGAGCACTGAAACTTCCTATCTTGCAGGTAGAAGCCCAAATTCACCCCTGTGCAGGTGGCCAAATCAAAAATGTGCCCTATTCGGTACATGGGGCTTGAACTCTGGGCCTGGGTGCTGTCGCCCAGTTCTTCAGCTCAAGGGTAGCATGCTACCACTTGAGCCACAGCGCCACTTCCAGTTTTCTGGTGGTTAATTGGAGATAAGAGTCTCATGGAATTTCCTGCTCAGGCTAGCTTTGAACTGTGATCCTCAGATCTCAGCCTTCTGAGTAGCTAGGATTACGGACGTGAGCTATCAGTACCTGGTTTACAATGGAATATTATTATGGCAATAAAAACCAAGGGCAAGCCGACATATGCCATGACCAAGATAAACCTTTGAAGCACACTGAATAGAAGGAGGCCATTATGAAGACTGCCTTTATATGAAGTGTTTTATGAATGCCTGTAGATGAAATGTTTACAACAAGCAATTCTGCAGAGACAAGAAGAAGATTCTGACTGCCGAGCTGGGCGGAGGCGGGAAGGGGGAGGGATTGCTAATGGGTTCAGGGTTTCCATTTAGGATGGTGAAAAGATCCTAAAATTAGATTGTGGTACTATTGCACAACTAGGAATGCACTAAAAGCCACTGAAATGTGTGCTTTAAATGAGTAAATGACACAGTTGATGAATTGCATCTCAATAAAGTGTGTTTTTAAGAAGAGGAGTTGCAGGGCGCACTCATTCTTTATTTTAAAACAAGCTAGGGATGGAGACTATTTTACACTGGCTCATCAGAAGAGTTTACTAAAGGCTCGTCGGTGAGCGCACAGGTGCTCAGTGCATTGTGCTTAAGGCTGGGCTATCTCCATGGGGCTGAGGGGCCCTCAGGTTCTTACAGGAAGGACTGGACTTCAGAGTCTCTAGAACTGTCCTTCAGAGGCCCACTGAGTACACTGTAGATTTAGCTTAATCCTCACAAACCACGAGGAAAGGCTGGTGCTTTTCTTTGAAACTCTTGTGCAGTGTGTATTATGCTGTGTCCCATTTCTGTGATATTTTAATTAAAAAGTACACACTGTGTGTGTGTGTGTGTGTGTGTGTGTGTGAATTTGTGTGTGTGTGTGTGTGTGTGTGTGTGTGAATTGTGGGGCTTGAACTTTGGGCTTGGGCGCTGTCCCTCAGCTCTTCAGCTCAAGGTGAGCGCTCTACCACTTGAGCCACAGCGCCACTTCTGGCTTTCTGGTGGTTTATTGGAGATAAGAGTCTTGTGGACTTTCCTGTCCAGGCTGGCTTTGAACTGTGATCCTCAGATCTTAGCCTCCTTAGTAGCTAGGATTTACAGGCATGAGCCACAGGTGCCCGGCTCTATAAATTGTCATTAAGGATAACTTGGCCAGGCACTGGTGGCTCACACCTGTAATCCTAGGTGCTCAGGAGGCTAAGATCTAAGGATCACAGTTCAAAACCAGCCCAAACAGAAGTCTGTGAGACCCCTTGTCCCCAATTAACCACCAAAAATCTGGAGGTGGACTATGGATCAGGTAGTAAAGTGCCAGCCTTAAGCAACAAAGCTATGGGAGAGCTTTGAGACCCTGAGTTCAAGTCCCAGTACTGGCAAACACACACCTGACACACACACACACACACACACACACACACATACACACACACGCACACACACAAAACCATCACCACCACAAAACAAAACAAACAAACAAAAAATATGGCATGGTATGATTTCAACATGTAAAACAGAAAAATCTTGACAAAAATTGTGCCGGACGCTGACCTTAGATCTCTGGACACCGTTGTCTCTCTCCTTCTGTCTTCCAAGAGCTGTCTACAATAATCGTAGATTCCTTTTATCACAGGTGACCCCCGGGCCGTTGGTGTAGTCCTTGCGTGGGGGTGGGGGTGGGGGAGAAGCTGTGGATCTGGGCACTGTCTCCGAAAGGAAGAGCTAACGTAACCCTGAGCCAGCGTCGTGGGGGACACAGAAGACAGAGAAGGAGCTGGGGAAGAGCCCTTGAGGGCAGCAGCAGGAAGAGGCCTGGGGTGACCAGAGTCCGGGGTCATGGGAACTGGCAGACAGTGTGGAGGGCGAGCCTAAACACGCAGGCCTCAGGGAAAGTCCTGCTCCCTCTGAGTTGTCGCGAGGTGACGTCTAAAGGGATGTAAAGGAGATGACCAGCCCACAGGGCCTGCGGTCAGCCAAAGGCCATCAGACAGGAAGCTTGGATTAAATGAGATGCTGCAAGGAGATTATGCTTCACAGCCCTGAAATGATATGCACTAGCTTTTTTCTTTCTTTCTTTACAGCGATGGGGATGGAACCCAGGGCCTTGTGGGTGCCAGACAGGTTGGGAACTTACTGATGACAAGACCTGGATCCCCCTAGGTAGCTTTAGCTTTAGAGAGTGTTGCCCCTGTCCTTTGGGCAAGGCCTTTTGCGTTGAGACCTCTGGGGTGCTCACCGGTCCCCTTCCCCTGTCCTTTCCAGCCATCCCCTCTGCCACCATGAGGAACATCTTCAAGAGGAACCAGGAGCCCATGGTGGCTCCCGCCACCACCACGGCCACAATGCCAGTCGCACCCGCACCGGGACCTGCAGACAACTCCACGGAGAGCGGGGGTGCGGGGGAGAGCAAGGAGGACGTGTTCGCCCAGCTGAAGGAGAAGCTCTTCAATGAGATCAACAGGATCCCCTGTGAGGGGCCTTGGTGCAGGGAGTGGGCACGGGCAGAGCCTGGGTGGGGGACCGGGGGGGGGGGGGAGGAGACACACTGGCCTGAGCTCTTCCCTAATGCTTGTGTCTTAGTTTGGATCCTTTAGGGAAGGAGTAGACAAACAGGGCGAGAACAAACGAGGCAAAGTAATTTGTAGGGGTTGCACGCAAGGCCTTGCGCTTGCTTGGTAGGCGCTCTACCACTTGAGTCATACCTCTGGTCCCTTTTTGCTTTGGTTATTTTCTTTGTACAGACTTGCCAGGGCTGTGATCTGCCTGTTTGTGCTTCCCTGTGATTCTGGGGATGACAGGTGTGTGCCACTCTACCCAGCCGTTTGTTGAGATGGAGTTTCACAAACTTCTTTTTGCCTCGGCTATCCTTGAGCCGTGATCTCCCAATCTCTACCTCTCAAGTAGCTAGGTCTAGAGGATTGAACCTGCCTGGATGGGGTTGTGTTTTTGTACCTCAGTCTCCTGGGGTGGGGTGGGGGGAGTCGTTCTTTCAAAAAAAACTACCAAAAGATGAAAACAAAAGGTTATGAAATAGAAATAATTGTTCAAGTTTACAGTTACATTTCAAACCTAATTTGTCTTGGAATATAGAAAACAAAAGCCTGCTGCGCTTGGAATTCCTGGTAGAGGGCTGCCTGTGGAGGAGACCCCAGGGGTCTGGCTGATGGAAGGCAGCCACACTGAGGGGAGCAGGCGGAGGTGGAGGCGAGGGGGTGGGTGGGGAGGGGGCTGGGAGCACTTGAATGACTCAGAGCCCAGCCCTCCAGGTGGATGAGACCTGAAGAAGCCTCTGTGTGGTTTGCCTCAAGACCAGGCTGGAGGACTGGGGATCAGGAGCAAGGGGCTTTGGGGATGTACAAATGTGCGACGGACCATGCCATCTTACGGATCTGCAAGGATCCAATTAGTCCACAGTGACTCACACCTGAAATCCTAGCTACTTAGGAGGCTGAGATCCGAGGATCAGGGTTCAAAGATAGCCTGGGCCGGAAAGTCCATGAAACTCTTATCGCCAATCAAAGACCCAAAAGCCAAGAGGAGAGATGTGGCTGAAGTGGTAGCCTTGAGCCAAAAAGCTAAAATAGGAGAGTGCACATGCGCGCACACATACACACACACACACACACACAGGGTCTAATAGATCCAAACAGGTATTCTTCCATACAAACTCCTGGCTTGCACCTCTTAGTAGGCTAAGGAGACAGCAGGGTATTCAAGAAAAGCATCCACACCTTACATGGTGCGTGGTGCGGACTCAGAATCCTATGACTGCGGATTTGGATACTCATAGATAAGCAGTTAAGGAATGTGGCGCCGGGGCTGGGAGGGTGCTCAGTCCTGACCCAGTTTTCCCCAGGCCGTGGGGTGGGGGCCTGCGGGCACAGGGTGCTGACCGTGGGGACCCTCTGTGTGGCAGTGCCTCCCTGGGCGCTCATCGCCATCGCCGTGGTCGCCGGCCTCCTGCTGCTCACCTGCTGCTTCTGCATCTGCAAGAAATGCTGCTGCAAGAAGAAGAAGAACAAGAAGGAGAAGGGCAAAGGCATGAAGAACGCCATGAACATGAAAGACATGAAAGGGGGTCAGGTAGGATGTGGTGTGGGCCTGGGCGGGGGTCGCTGAGAGGGGCAGCAAAGGACTTCCTGGCTGCTGCAGCCAAGCCTGGAGCTGCCCTTCCTTCAGAGTTGCTGGCCCCTCCTTCCCGGCTGCTCTGGGCCTCAGGCCCGTCAGCCAGTGGGCAGAGCACCATTCGTGTGCTGGTGTGAATGCTTCCTGATGAATTGTGGAAGGACACGGTGCATTGAGTCCTAAGGATGCTGTTGGAGGGCAATGTTGGGCAGAGAGATGACCACTACCACTCCTGGGAAAGCACCATTATTGCGTATCCCTGAGATTTCCCTGGGGAACGAGACTGTAGGACCCAGGGGCATCTGGTAGGAGGGATGCAGCTGGCATCAGAGGGGACTTGGATGAGGCCGGAAGAAGGTTCTGAGGTGCCACACGGGGCCCAGCAGAGCCTGTCACTTACCCTACGCTTGCTTATTCGCTCACGTCTTTTGGCGTTGGTCACCTTCAAGAGGTCTTGATATACCAAAGGCATGCCTCAGCCATGCCGCTCTTGTCTCATATAACAAAGTCTATGTAGGAGTGACAGGGAGGAATCTCAAGGAATCCTTATAGAGAATAGCAGAAAAGGGCTCATCTGAAGAAGTTGGCTCATCTGAAGAAGTTGGCTTATCTGAAGAAGTTGGTCAGGGCTTGTGATAGCCTGTGAGTGTGTGCATATGTGTACATGTGTGTGCATGTGCGTGCAGTGCGCCTGTGTGCACCATGTACGTGTGTATGTGCATGCGTGTGCATGTGTGTGTGTGTGTGTGTGTGTGTGAATGTGTTTTCCAAGATGACCTGGCGCTAGCCCAGCCTGATCTCACAGCCACATGGCTGTGACTTCAAGGATTGGTTTGAGCTGTAGGGTTTTCTTATATTTTTCTCCCTTCTTTGTCCACCTCTGGATCCACCCTGCTCTGGGCTGCCTGGACTGTACTACTGGTAAGTCTTGCCCAGGATGAGTGGGGTCTGCCACACCCAGGATGTGTGGGAGAGCACTGGGTGGGGACTTATGGGGGAAGTGGGTACCCTGCCTCAAGTAGCTGCAGGGCATGAGGTACCTGGTACCTGGCCTTGTAACACCAAGACGGAGCACGGGTGGGGATCTGCCCGGGTGCTGATGGGCAGCAGAGCCCAGGGATGGGTTGTGTCTCCTCCTCATCTGCACACCTGGCTGGGAGTCAAGGTCTAGCTGTTGCATTGCCTTTGTGCTGAAGCAGACCTTGAGCTTGCTTCTTTCCTCCCCGCAGCCCCTCCAGGATGACGATGATGCAGAGACAGGCCTGACGGAGGGAGAAGGGGAAGGAGAAGAAGAGAAGGAGCCAGAGAACCTGGGCAAACTGCAGTTCTCCCTGGACTATGACTTCCAGGCCAACCAGGTATGTGTGGCTGTGCTGAGGGAACAGAGTGGCAGGGTGGGGGCTGGGGGGATTCTGCATTGGTGGGTGGGCATGGCTTCTCTGTATGACGTGGGGCAGGGTAGGAGCCACAGGACCGTATCCGCTCAGTCATTGGCTCTGGCCTGGCCCCCCACCTGATGTGGGGAGAGCAGAACAGGTTCATGTGGCTGTGAACCCTCCCACTCCCGGCAGCCCCCTCTGGGCTGGGCATGGTGGGATCCAGAACTGGGGCCTGGAGCGGTCTGGAGACACGAGCCCCTCCCTCTCTCCACAGCTCACCGTGGGCGTCCTGCAGGCCGCGGAGCTCCCCGCCCTGGACATGGGGGGCACCTCGGACCCTTATGTCAAAGTCTTCCTCCTCCCAGACAAGAAGAAGAAGTACGAGACCAAAGTCCACCGCAAGACGCTGAACCCCGCCTTCAACGAGACCTTCACCTTCAAGGTGATGCGGCTGGAAGGGGGACATTCTCCCTGTCCCGAATTCTGCAGCTTCCCCTCTCCCCCCCCCCCCCCGGTCCTTAGGCATGGCTGGGGCCTGGGGCTCGATGTGGGCGTGTGTGTCAGGTCGCGCCACCCTCTGTGGAGGGGGACGGCGACCTCTCCCATCTCACTCTGCTTACCCAAATCTGTGCAGACTTCTCAGGGACACTGAGCTGGATGGAGGAGAGGCCCCAGCTTAGGCTCCTGCCCACAGCACCCCCCCAGAGGTGTGTGAATCACTCCGGTCCTTTCTGACCCAGCTTGTACCCCGCAGGTGCCATATCAGGAACTGGGGGGCAAAACCCTGGTGATGGCCATCTATGACTTTGACCGCTTCTCCAAGCATGACATTATTGGCGAAGTGAAGGTGCCCATGAACACCGTGGACCTCGGCCAGCCCATTGAGGAGTGGCGAGACCTGCAAGGCGGGGAGAAGGAGGAGGTGAGAGCCCAGGAGGCGTGGCCCCGCGGGAGGCGTGGCCCCGCGGGAGGCGTGGCCCCGCGGGAGGCGTGGCCCCGCGGCCCAGAGGGAGGCGTGGCCCCGCGGGAGGCGTGGCCCAGAGGGAGGCGCGGCCCCGCTGGAGGCGCGGCCCCGCGGGAGGCCCGGGTGCTGCCCTTGGGTCTATGATGGGAAGAGCGCGGGCTCTGGAGTCATCTCCACACTGCTGGCTGCTGACCCTGGCCCAGTCACTCAAACTCTGTTTAGATTCTTCTTACACATGGAAAGTGCTTGCTGCTGTGTCTGGTGTTTGGTAGACACCAACTAAATAAGGTTCTGCTCTCACCCAGTGCCAGTGACTCACAACTCCATGCCTCAGTTTACCTACCTGGGTAAACTGGTGGTAAACATCTTTGAGGCTAAAGGCTGCTTAGCTTGGGGACTTGTCTTTCCAGCAACTGCTACAGTGTTGGTTCATCACTAGTTTTGTGTGTGTGTGTGTGTGTGATTGGCTGGACTCTCAGATTAGGCTATCCCTGAGTTGTGATGTTGGCAGGTATCTTGGAATCGGGATCCCTGACATCCTGCCCCCAGTGCCAGATTTCTGTGTGCCTTGGATGAATCCCCCTCCTGCCTGGGGCCTCAGTTTCTGCTTGGTTACAAAGAAACCTTGCCTTGTCTACACCAGAGAGTTGCAGTGACTAAAGAAAGAACACTTTGAAAGTCCCCCGGCCAACTCACCCACAGTCTGGAGTGGGGAGTGGGCAGCAGGGAGCCACACGAGGGTGTTCGTGGAGGTTTTGTCTCCCTGGGCTCTTGGAAACCAACATTTGGTTCCATTCAGGCTCCTCATGTCCTTCCCAGCCAACCTGGGCCTGGACTAGGGCTTGAGCAAACCCCATAACTGCTGGACCTGCGAGGTCTTGCTGCCCCCTCCCCCATCGGCCTCCTCCAGCCGTGACTGGGAACTGCAGTGCGAGGCCTCAAGGTCAGGTGCTGCAGGACCTTTTCAACCACCAGAGCGAGAGGGTTGGTGGTTGACGTTAGGGGCTGGTCTTAGCAAGATGGGGTCAGCCATGCTTCAGAGACTGGGACGGCTGAGATGACCTGGGTCCCCCTTTTTCTCCCTGGTCAGCCAGAGAAGCTGGGAGACATCTGCACCTCCCTGCGCTACGTGCCCACGGCTGGCAAGCTCACTGTCTGCATCCTGGAGGCCAAGAACCTGAAGAAGATGGACGTGGGTGGCCTTTCAGGTACTGCAGAGCATCTGACTGCCAGTAGGTGGCACCAGCGAGCCAGTCACTGAGTCCTGAGCCCTAGAGTGCACACACCCCGGCCAGGAGGAAAACTTCCCCCCAGAGACCTGCTGGATCTGGCTTCTGAGCCCTTGATCCCTCAGCCCTGCTTTCTCCAGGGGTGCTCTGTTCCCACCCCGAGTTATCTTTCCAGTGCTTTCTTTGTGGCCCCCAAGGAGAGGATCAGATAGATACTATCCCCCAAATGAGTTCATAATGACTTTGGATCTCACTTCTCCTGGAAGTGTAAGACGTGGGCAGGGCTCAGGCCAGAGCGGCCCACGCTGCCTTCCCACCTCACTGGGAACATTTTTGTAAGAGGGGCTGTAGGTGCTGTGTCTTCTGTGGAAGGGGACTCCACGTGTGGGGGCCTCCTGTGTTTCGGATTTCCTGACATGAATGGGGCTGGCCCACGGCAGAGGGCGCTGGTGGGCGAAGCCTGCTGCATGCCGTCTGGGTCTTCTCAGGGAAACGGCTCTGGCCTCGTTTCAGACCTAGTGTGTGATCTTGGGTCCATCGTTTCCCTTCTTTGACCCCAGTTTCTTTTCTTATTTTTTGGTGCTGGTCTTGGGGCTTGAACTCAGGGTCTGGGCACAGTCCCTGAGCTTCTTTTGCTCAAGCCTAGCACTCTACCACTTGAGCCACAAGGCCACTTCTGGCTTTTTCTGTGTATGTGGTACTGAGGAATCAAACCCAGGGCTTCATGCATGCTAGGCAAGCACTCTACCACTGAGCCACAGTCCCAGCCCTCACCCCAGTTTCTCATCTGCAGATAGGATGGGGCTGGGCCGGGGTCAGCAGAGGTATGACCGGCCTAGCACAGGCATTACCTGCCAGTGCTCACACACTGTCTCACACAGGCCATTCTTAGATCCAACTTAGTGCTCTAGGGAGCCACGACTGACCCTCAGAGCTGGTCCTGGGGGTGAAGCCTTGGCTGCCATGTACTCCCCTCTGTGTCTAATAGACTTCCTGTCCTGTGCCCGGGGCTTCCTAAGGGTCTGGCCTCGGAGTGGAGACTCAGGTCCCATGAGGCTCTGGGTGTGCGGGAGGCCAGGCAGGGGCTAAGGGGCTTCTGGGATGGGACTTTCTGTACACAGACCCCTACGTGAAGATCCACCTGATGCAGAATGGCAAGAGGCTCAAGAAGAAGAAGACGACGGTGAAGAAGAAGACCTTGAACCCCTACTTCAACGAGTCCTTCAGCTTTGAGATCCCCTTTGAGCAGATTCAGGTACCCAAGCTCTGCAGGCCTTAGGCCAAGTTCACAGGGGAGGGGAGCCCTATTGTACACTCTTCAGAGGAGCCCCGATCATGAGGGAAGACTGGGTCCCATAATGCTTCACGGGGCCTCTTTCCCGGGACTCTTGTGAAGGGTCTGCCTTTTCTGAGAAGTTGGGAGTGACTAAGGAGAAAATGGCCTCCCTCCATCTCCCCATCAGTCCTGCCTTGGCCATCCCTTGCCCATTTCCCCTGCTCCCTCGGTCTGCTCCCTTGCCCGCTTCTGAGCCCTTCTCTTCATTCCTGTCTTGTCCCTCAACAAATCCCACTGATCTCCTTGTTCTCACCTCTAAATAGCTCTCTAGTCCTGCACCACGTTCCCTCCCCCACTGTCTTGGTTTGGGTCCTTAACACCTTCCCAGATTTCCTAGCAACTGACTTCTTCCCCGTATCATGGCTCTTCCTCCTCCAGTGATGCTAACACCCCGATCCCAGCTTTCTCTCTCTCAAACAGAGATAATACTGTGACTTGAACCCAAGGTATTCTCACTTAGCTTTTTTTTTTTTTTTGCCACAGGTAGTACTCTATCACTTGAGCCATGCCTCCAGCCTGGCATTTTACTGGATAATTGGACATGGAGTCTCACAGAGTTCCTCAATGTTTGTCAGGCAAACATTGATCTTCTCCGTCTCAGCTTCCTGAGTAGCTAGGATTATAGTCATAAGCTACTCTTCTCAGATTTGCTACTCCTTTGGAAAGTCTTCAAGCCAGGTCTCTATAGGTGGTTCACACCTATAATCTCAGCTATTTGGGAGGTAGAGTTTGAGAAGATGGAGGCTTGGAGTCAGTATGTGTGTTAGGGAGACCTCATCTCAACCAACAAGCTTGGGTGTGGTGGTGTGAGCCAGAGATTCAGCTACATGGGAGGCATTGGTAGGAAGATAGACATCCAAGCTGGCTTGGTCAAATACACAAAATCCACAGGGTGCTGGTGGCTCACGCCTGTAATCCTGACTACTCAGGAGGCTGAGATCTGAGGAACACAGTTCAAAGTCAGCCTGGGCAGGACAGTCTGTGAGACATTAATCTCCAGAAAACCAAAAGTGAAGCTGGCTCAAAGGGGGTAGAGTGCTAGCCTTGAGCAGCAGAGCTCAGGGACAGCGCCCAGCCCTGAATTCAAACCCCATCACCCACAGAAACAAAAAAGCCCACAAACTCCAGAAGATCCCACCTGGAAATAAAAAGCAAAAAGGACTGGAGGTATGGTGTAAGTGGTAGAGTGACTGCCTAGCAAGTTAGGGGCTGAGTTGAAATCCCAGTACCTTGCCCTAACAAAAAACAAAGCAAAAAAGAAAAACAACAACAAAAAAGAAAGCAAGAAAGAAGAGAAAAACTCTCCAGGAGCCGCTTACCCAAGGGTAAAATACAAATTCCTTCTCTGAGCCCAGCCCTACTTAATCTTACTTCTACCATGACTCCTGCTTCTCCTCTTAGCCGCTCTGAAGTGCCAGTGTTTCTCTGTAGCCAATGTACTTGTGCCCCTACCCAGATTACTCCTCTCCCCTTCGTGCCAGTACTGGGGCTTGCATGCAAAGTCTTGTGCACTTGTCTGGCTTTTTCTTTTTCTTTTTTTTTGCCAGTCCTGGGCTTGAACTCAGTGCCTGGGCACTGTTCCTGAGCCTCTTTGTGCTCAAGGCTAGTGCTCTACCACTTGAGCTACAGCACCACTTCTGGTTTTCTGGTGGTTAATTGGAGATAGGAGTTTCATGGACTTTCCTGCCCGGGCTGGCTTTGAACAACGATCCTCAGATCTCAGCCTCCTGAGCAGCTAGGATTACAGGCATGAGCCACTGGTGCCCGGCTCTCACCGACTTTTCTGGCTTCAAACTGTGATCCTCAGATCTCAGCTTCCTGAGTTGCAAAGATCACAGGCGTGAGCCATTGGCCCAGGTTACTCTTTGCTCGTCTTCTTCTTTTTTCCCTCCTCCAAGAGAAATCCTCGGCCTCATGGCCTCCTTCGAACGTCACCTTCTCTGCAAAGTCACCCCGAGTGGCTGCACAGGGCTAACACCATGGCTTTGGGTACCGAGGGGTCACCTCCCTGGCATAACCTTCACCCCTTGGTATAGATTTTAACATGTGTCTGCTGACTTCATGGAGGTAAAGTTCATCTGCTTATGTCTCCCCCAAAGCCTTATACAGTGCTAGAGAACTACTGTGGGTAGACACGGGTTCCCTCCAAAAGGTGTGGCCTTCATCCTCACATAAATTCAGATCTTGTTAGATGGAAGCCAAGAAGCCTTTCCTTTCCCCTCCCTTCTCCCCTTCCTTTCCCCCCTCTTTTCCCTCTCCTCCCTGTCCTGTCACTGGGAGCTCGGTTGATGGAGGAGGGAGCTTTGATAAGGGAATCCTCGTGTTCCCCTCCCCAAAGCCTCCTTCCTTTGCTTTCCTCACAGAAAGTCCAGGTCGTGGTCACCGTGCTGGACTATGACAAGCTGGGCAAGAACGAAGCCATTGGCAAGATCTTTGTGGGAAGCAACGCCACGGGCACAGAGCTTCGGCACTGGTCTGACATGCTGGCCAACCCCCGGAGACCCATTGCCCAGTGGCACTCGCTTAAGCCCGAGGAGGAAGTGGACGCGCTGCTGGGCAAGAACAAGTAGGCAGCAGCCTGGGAGCTCACTCTTCACGGACACTGACAAGATCCAGAGCTATCAATACCTCAGTTACGCAACCTTAGAGGTGTTTGTTTTTTCTTTCTTTCTTTCTTCATTTGTTTGTGGTGTATCTGTTTTTCCTTCCTTTTTCTCTTTTTAAAGACCAACTTCCCTTTGATGGCTGCTGAGGAGAGTCCCCTGAGAGGTGAAAAGAGAAGCCTGGCTCTGTTCATCCTCCCTAGAGCTGCCCTTGCTGAGTGCTCTGTCAGCTTCCTCTCCCTCTTTTCAAAGCATCACTTAGGCCTCGCCTACAGCGAGGCCCTCTACTGGCAGAAAGTGGTAGCACTTCCTGTTTTCTTGCAAGTTCTGGACCAACAAAATGGTAGCACTTCCTTTTCCCAGACAGCAAAGGCAGCACAGTGGCCAGTGGCATATTACGTGTGTGCGCATGTTTCTGCATTTCTAGAATGAGCCATGGACAGTGAAGCTGTGTGGGAAAGATTTCAGGCACTAACTGGAGATCTGTCCATTAGGCTCAAAATCCTAGGCAAATGTCAGAAGTTCTCGTGGTCCTTGTGAGTGGCTGTTTGGGAGGCAGCAAGATGGAGGACTGCCTGTATCCAGAACTAGGACCAAATCTCTGATATCATCATAGACTTCCTCCAATCAGTCTTGGTTTCCCCAGCAGTGGGGTTTCTGGGACATTTATGGAAATAAAGTACTCACTAGCATTGCCAGACTTTAACAGGGATGACGAGTCCCAGGATCTTACCCTTGTTGACAACAAATATCCAACTATGACGAAACAGAAGTTCCCAAAATTAAACTCCAGGTTCTTCACCTCATCCAGCGGGAAACACAGCAGCGCGCTCCCTCTCCAGAATTCACGCAATGCAGTCCATTTGCATTTATTCTTCATCAAGCTCTTGCTTCTGTTTCTCTGTTCATTTAAGTAGAACAACACTGTTGGAAGGCATGTCATCTGTGCAGAGCCAGAGAACTTTATTTATTTTTTGTCGGTCGTGGGGCTTGAACTCTGGGCCTGGGCGCTGTCCTTCAGCTCTTCAGCTCAAGGCGAGCGCTCTACCACTTGAGCTACAGCGCCACTTCCGGTTTTCTGGTGGTTTATTGGAGATAGGAGTCTCACGGTCTCTTCTGCCCGGGCTGGCTTTGAACTGTGATCCTCAGATCTCAGCCTCCTGAGTAGCTAGGATTACAGGCGTGAGCCACCAGTGCCGGGCTCAGAGCCAGAGAACTTTTAAAATGACGGATTAAATCTTCTCAGTTCCTCTGAGGTCCAGATAAGAACAGTGTGATAAAAAGGGAGGATGGATAGATGGTAGAGATTTTCTGGGATAAAGGTAGATGGGAGCACTGAAATTCCCCCCAACTCCTATTTCTTGCTCTCTGGATCCTCTGCTCTCCATAAGCCCTCCTCTGTGGGCAGATGGATAGCTGGAGTACCCTAGGGAGACCTGTCATTCATTAGAGACTTATCTCTATGAATGCCAAGAAATGAAGGCCATTCATTCCAAATGGGTGGTAGAGGAGATGTGCCAGGGTTTCTACCCCATGCTCAGTTGTGTCCCATTCTCTATTTGCCTTTTGTCCCCAGCATTGATCTTAAAAAAAAAAAGCCATATATATGTTAGTAAAAGTTTGCACTGAGTCCCCTTCCAAACGTTCAGCCTGGGCAAGAGAGTCAGGCCCCCATGTGGCCAGAGACCAACCCTACTTGTCTCCCTTCCTTGGTATCTCTCTTCCATCCTGAAAGCCCTCAGGCCACAGAAAACTCACAGCTTCTTTGGAAGCCTGGGAATCCCTCTCTTTGCCAGTTAAAAAAAAGAAAAGGTAGTGCTTCCTGTCCTGCCCCACTTGGGCCTCTTTGGCTTCCTGTAGGCAAGATAGCTGGATGATGTTGGAGAGCGTCAGGACCTTGAGATATAGATAGGTGTAGATAGGTGCAGTGTCTTTTTATTTTAATGAAGGAGCAGGAATGACCTGGTTTTATTTTGCTTTAATTTTTGCTCAAATGGGAAATGAGAGGACCCCTCCACCAGAAACAAACTGACAAGCAAGGCTTCCCATACGTCTTTCCCCCCACCACTTCATTTTGGTCGGTTGTGGGGCTTGAACTCAGGGCCTGGGTGTGCTGTCCCTGAGCTCTTTTTGCTTAAGGCTAGCCTTCTACAACTTTGAGCCACAGCTCCGTGTCCAGTTGTCTGGTGTTTATCTGGAGATAAGTCTCATTGCCTTTCCTGCTTGGGCTGGCTTTGAGCAGTGATTTGCACATCTCTTCCTCTTGATAGTATTACAGGAGTGAGCCACCAGCACCTGGCTTATCACCTGTTTCTTTTGAGAGACGCTTCTTCCTGCTAGTGGTTCATGAGAAGTTAGAGATTTTATACTGTATGTGTGTTTGTGGGAATATAGAAGATAGGACTCAGATAAGGATAATGGATTATAATCCTCAGGGCCAGCGTAATGGTCGTAGTAAAGTTATGGGACAGTAGGGTGCATTCAGAAACTAGCTGGCTGGCTGTCAGATACCATTGAGCTCTTCCCTGGACTGTGGTTTTTGGTACTGTCTCAGGGTCCCTTCCCTAGCTACATCTCTACAAATCTCATGAATGGAAACTCTCCTCTACGTCTCCTCTCTTCTCCTCTACCTTCATTCTTTTGCCTTTTCCCACCCCACTTTCTAGTACCTGTGATTCTTCCCAGAAATCTCCTTTAGCCCTTCCGAAGCCCAGTATTTGCTATGCCCCTTGCAGAGACAGAAGGGGAGCTGTAGGCAGCTCTGTGGCTTGGGCCTGGATTTTATTACTCTGGGCGCACCTCTGATGGGGGCCTGCAGGGGGAAGGCATGTTGTTAAGGTTAACTTCTGGCACCGGGTTGCAATCAGTTTCTTCCCAGGCTGGTCCTGCTAAGCCAGACACCCAAGCAGGTTGCACCTGCAGGGGGAACACGCTGAAGTTCTAAGTATTCTCTGCCTGAGGAGAGGATGTAGCCTAAACCACAGAGCATCATTTCAAACCCTCAGTGCTGTGTGGGTTTGCTTCTGGGGAAGTCAGAGCCCTTGGGGGCGTTAGTGGGATAGTTAGGGTGTCTGGCTAGTGCAGAGTTCTGGGTGCCTCTGGGGCTGAGTGTTTTCATCCCAAAGTCTGTTCTGAAGAGAAGGAAGCACTTAAGAGAGGTGTTTTTTTTTTTTTTTTCCTTTTAAGAGAGGGGCTGAGGCCATAAAAACCTAAACCCAATCCTGCTCAGAAAGCGAGGACGAGGCAGGAAGCCTGCTTTCTTCCAGAACAATTGTTCTGGGGAAGTCATTCTGTCGGTGTTACAGCGTTTCAGGCCGGAAGCAGAGGTCGAGGCCTGGGGAAGGCCAGATGGTGCAGCCTCGGGCACTGGGGGAGGGGAAGAGTGGCTCCCGGAGCCCCCTGGCTGGAGGAAGTGGCAGCAGGGATTCTGCACAGCACGGCTGGAGGCCCTGGGGTCTTTTCTTTGCCCAGGAAACCATACATAGCTATGTCTGTAGAATCAGTGTGGGATGAGTTTTGCAGTTCCAAGGCTTCAGAGCGAGGGAAGATAAGGTGTCTCTTGCTGCCACTGTCCTGGGGGTGGGTGGGTGTAAAACCAGTTCTCTTCTAAAGCTTCCTCCAGTCGTAGGGTGTGTGGGGGTGTGGGGAGTGGTTCTAGCAGAGGGGGAAAGGAGAGATTCCTGTTCTTTAAGGTCAGACCTCACTGGTTGAGACCTGTGGGTCCTAGGTCTCACTCAGCCTTGAATAGAGACGCCTTTCCCTGAAGATGTCTCCTTTGCTCAAAGGGAAGGAGAGAACCAACCAGGAGCTGCCCTTCCATCCCCTGCCTTCTTCTCTGCCTTCTCTGCTGGCCATGGCTGTGGCTCATAGAGAGGCTCCTTTGTGCTGGTCCTGGTGACCCAGAGCCCCATGGTGATCGCCAAATTTGGCAAATAATACAGGATGCCCAGTTAAATTTGAACTTCAGATAAACAGTAATTTTTACATTTGAATGAGTCCTAGGCAATGTGGGATATCCTAGGCTACAAGGCGACTCTTGGTTTAATCTGAAATTCACATTTAGATGGCCATCCTGTGCAGCAACCCTACCCTATGACCATGACCCCGCTCCCCCTCGGTCCCAGGGGGCCAGAGATTGGTGACCATGGATTTGACTTAATGTTTGTTGATTTTTTTCTTTTGAACTGCAATATTGAGAAGGGGACACTGTGACTTGAAGATACATGAATATTTATTTTTGAAGTGACAAGAACCTTCTGAAGCCATTTGAGCCCCATCTGACCCTCTCCATGTGTGTTTAGTTATATATAAAAGATGATAGTTATCTATAAACATATGAACAGAATCTTGTTTAATCAAGATGCATGTCTATAACTTTCTGTAAATAGTCGCATGGCCATGCTGAGAGTCCCCTTATCTCCCCCCCCCCCAACCATTTTACACAACTGGTTGAGGCTGCTCCTTTTGATTTGATGTTATATAAAGTCTTTGTCTTTCAGTCCTCCCCACCCCCATGGGGAATCCCCGCAATGGGAGCCATTGGTAAGGGAGCAGGTTTCTGGCCTGGGACCAGCCCTGCCCAAGGAAGATGCTGGAGGCCACTGAAGGCCCACCTGCGGCTCATCTGTCTGCAGGGCTACCTTTGGGCCACAGCAGTGTCCGGCTGGTGTCTGGTGTCCCGTTGCGTCTGTGTCTGTGTCTGTGTATGGTGTGGTTCCCCCTCCCACTGTCTGAATTAACTGAAAAGCCATAAAGGGGTCTCCTGCTGGAGACTGCCCTAGGCTCCTCCCAGGAGCCCCTGGTGTCCCTTCGACTGGCTCCCTGCAGAACACTTGTGAAGGGCTCACCTGTTGTCATCCCCCTCACCTCTCCCCCCCGATCTTTCAGCCCCGTGTCGTGAGGACAGATGGTGTCCAGGGCTTTTGGTGGGGCCTCGGGAGATGACCCTGTTGGCTTCCTTGGCCTGGGTGTCATGGTTCAATGCCATCTCTATCCTGGGTGTGGATGGGGCAGTGGTGGGGACCCCATAGCTCTGGAACTATCCCAAGGAAAATTTCCTGAAAAGGCAATGGGGATTTTCAGGAGCAGGAGCTCAATGTGGGGCCAAGTTCTCGATGACCACCGGGCTGAGGTTTCGGCGCCCATGGTTGGCAATAGGAGGGGTTTTCTGTGGGGGGGAAAGCCCAGGGGCCACAGAGGATGAAGCTCCCCACCCATGCTTCCCCCTGAAGTCTGAGAGCTCCCCCCCGCCCCCCGCCCAGGAGAGTGAGGAGGCCGAGGCAGTGGTGGAAAGGTGCAGTTGAGAGGGATGGCTTAGAGTGGGCATGCATGGGGCTCGGACCAGGCAACTTCAGCAGGTGCCAAGTAGTAGGTGAGTAGAGAGAACTAGAGCCGTCTAAGGTCTCAGGTTATCATGTTGAAAGGCCCCAGCCTGCAGACCGGCCCGGAGCCCCCCTAGGGCGGCAGTGCATGTGGATCACGGATCATGCGGGAGGCCTCAGGCAGGAGAGAACTTTCATGGTTGTGCCCACAGGACCTGTGGCCGGGGACAAAAAGAATGGGGCAAGTGGAGGGGAACCATTCCAGAGCATGCTGGGATTCACTCTCCAGACTCCCTCACTCGCCGTAGATATAGCAACTGGGACAAGAGGGTGGGTGGGCGTCTGCTGAGGTGGTGGGCGTGGTCAATGTGGGCGTGGGGGCTTCTCCTCTGCCTTCTTTAGCAATCAGGACTGGGGGGGGGGGAGAGGGTCTTCCTTAGAGAAGCCAACCATTCTGCCCTGACTCCTACTCATCTGAGGACTTGATTTGCTGCTTTCTGAAAATCCTGGGCCAGATACCTTCCAAACTCGGGCTGGGACAGAGCCTGAGCTGTCCCAAGTCACCCCTGGGATGTTGTTGGCCCCACCAGGAG